TTTTTTTTTTTTTTTTTTTTTTATTTTCCTCTTAACCATGCAGAGGATGTAAAGAGATGCCCTGTCTTCCAGGCTGAGTAGGAAAGAAATCTGAGGTTTCTTGTGAGAGAGGTGGAGTTGCTCTAATCTGATGCAGTGGGGACTTCATAAAACCACTCCTGATAGCTGGTTGCTAATGGTCATTGGGCCTCTCACTGTCTCCACAATCCTTGGAGGAGCTGCATGGGCCAGCTGCAAGCTCCTACTCTGAATCCCAGCTGTATCCCCATCTCTCTAAAGCAGGCCTGGAGGTCCACGGCCCAGACCCAGACTCAAAATTGCTCAAGCAGCTCCTCCACTCCCTGCTGCACGCATGTCTGTGCAGCCCTTAGCTGGACAACCCTGCACTGTGTTCAGGCACAAACCCTGGGGAGCAGCACTCCATGACATGGCTGATGCCTGGCCTCCTTCCCCTGCTCTGTCCCTATACGTAGGACATGCCCTAGGTAGGGGGGGTACCAGTGGTGACGCCCCATGTACTGAACTTGGGGCTTTGCTTGGTGGTACAAGAACGCCATCCCTGGGGGTGTCTCTCCCTAAGCCGAGAGCATCTTCAATAACCAACAGCCCCTGCTGTGAAGCCATGCACAGCACTCCTGCCTAGTGCTAAAGCAGTGGCAGGTGTGGTCTGCAATCACATGGACCTGACTGCACATTGTGTGACCTGCTGTCTCCTGAACAGTTTGGCTTCAAGAAGTGGAAGAGTCATGTGACAGCCCGGCCCTGGGCAGACCGCTCGGAGATCGTGAAGGAGCTCTACTCGGACCTGAATGTCATCAAGAGCTTGAGAGGTATGCAGTATTGTCCCTGGGCTGGGATGATGTAGCTGGGGCTGGTCCTGCTTGGAGCAGGGGGTTGGACTAGGTGTCACCTCCAGTCCCTTCCCACCCTTGTCTTTCTGATTTTTCTAAACCAGACCGAGCTGCCACTGATCTGCCTAGCATGTAGCAAGCTTTCTGGTGTGGTGGGGAGAAGCCCTAAATCTACCTCCCAGAACTACTAGAAGCCCAGAGACTTCAGGGAGATGGGGATCCCTGTGTACCAGCCAAGGGGACTGAATTGCCTGGCTTGCACATCTGTGGGGTCTGTCATCTCCCTCTGGAAAGGGACAGAAGGGAGAAATGCTCTTCTCCCTCCAGAAAGGAGGCTTGAAACTAAGGGTGTCTCTTGCATGATGGAAACTGAGGATTGCAAAGGAAGTGACTGAACAGCAAAGCGGATGTACTTTCCAGGGTCTTGTCTATTGGCAAACCTGCCGCTTGGGCACAACAGTTATCATTTGTAGATGTAACAGGCCGCTTGAACTAGGAAGCGGGGCCAACACCCACACCAGCAGGTCCCAAACCTGGAGCAGAGATGAATGGGTGGAGAAGCTGGAAACAAATTTGGCCCGTGGGGAACTTGCAGTGGTGGTGGGGGCTGCCAGGGGCTCAGAGCATGCTTGATTCCTACTAGGCTAGGATGGGACCAGGGGAGCTCTCATCCTATGTCCTGGCTCCTTGTAGGGGCTGGGAGCCTTCCTCCCTTGCTACCCACAACTGCAGGGAGCATTGCTCCACCTGGCAGTGGAAGAGCTTTAAGCAGCTGCAAATGCTAAAGCTGACCTGTCTTCCCTCAAGACACCCTGCACTGGGACTTGCATCAGGACCCCTCTTCTGTAGCTAGAAGCATCTTAAATAGCGACTGTCCTGCAGAGGTGGCTTGATGGCCTCCTTCCACAGGGGATGGGTCTTGTGTAGGTGCAGAGCAAGCTTCTGGATCCCCAAGCCCAGCAGCACGTGTGCTGTGAGCACATAGCACTCTGGTCTCCGGGGCTATGACTATCCTGAAACATAGCCTGGATTAAAAAGGCAGCCTGCTCCCAAACCAGCCGGGATGGGTCTCCTCACCCCCCTCATGACCCTTCTCACCAGGCTCCACGGTCACCTGTGGGAACATCTTCTACCTGCTCCTGTTCGGATGGTGGCTGTCTCTCGTCTACCTCCTGGTTGCTGCTGTGATGTTCCTCTCTGTGGTTGCAGCTCCATATGGTATGGCCTGCAGAGACTCCATGACCAATGGTCTGAGTTCTAGTTTTTCCCCCATAGCCAGGGCATGTCTGGCGTACTGACCTCCAGCTGGCAAAAGAAACAATAGTGGATTCCAGCAACCTTCGTGTTGTACTGGTTTTCCCCGTTCAAGCTCCTCCCAGAGGTGGGAAGTCCTAACGCCAGACCTCTGCTAGCTGCAGAAGCTCTTTGAATTGCAGCTCTGGCCCCTGCCCCGCTCCCCCAAGCAGCAGCATCAACTGTAGGGGTGCCATGCCCACAGCGTGTCCCTTCCTGATGCTGGAGCAGTCCCAGGGCTGATTTTGCTGTCTCTCCCTGTAGGAAAGCTGTGCTGGGATTTGGCGGGATATTTCTTCTGGCCCTTTGGGAAAGTGATCCAAAAGGTGGAGGTGAGTTGAATGAGAGCTGCCTGCTCTGGGGCAGGGTTTGTGGCTCGTCCTTTTGGCCCAGCCCCTGACTTTTTTTTTTCTTGGGTCTTTTTATTCCAACTGCCCTGAGCACAGCAGCTGAGTCCTCTCCCATGGGGACCCTCCTGTGTGAGGCTCTTTCTGAGTGGCCCTGCTCTCCTTCTGTCTCCAGGCTGACCCCCCTCTGAGGAAGTGCAACACCCTGTTCAACAAGTGCACGGTTATCTCAGAAGTGAGCGACCCCAAGGAGAGCACCCCCTTGCTCCCCCAGCACAACGTGGGGCAGGGGCTGATGGGTGATGCTGATGCCATGTACTGGGTAAGACTGCTGCCTGGCTGGGCACTCCCCCTGCATCACGTTGGAGGGAGAAGGTGATCCTTGGGAGTGGCTGGGGAGTCTATTTTTTGGGAGGCCACCAGCACAAACCCAGATGAGGAGGTGCAACTCTCTGCTGTCCAGACTCTTCCCTTGCTGTGACCTGGTGTCCCTGGCTAGGGACTTGGGCAGAGAGCCCAGGGACGAGGCAGCCTGTGGACTTGGTGTTCTTCCTTCCCTCCTCCATGGGGTGGGATGTGGAGCTTGTTATGAAGCCACCACATGCCTCAGCTCTTGGTGCAACTTGAGGTCCTCAAATACCCTCTAGAAATGTGTCAACAGGGTCCAGTGGCTGAAAAGTTGGTAAAGCTTCCAGTGGTGGGGGCCAGACCTGCCCCTGCTCAGCTGTAGCAACGCCAGCGTGATCATTGGTGTCCTCTGGCTACAGCCTCCCCTTTGCAGGGGCTAGGCTGTATCGCACCATTATAAGCTGTGCTGGCTATCTTAGCTGGGAGGAATATGGAGTGCTGAGCTGTTCGCTGGGCACTAACATGGACTGGCCTTGCTTTCCTCTTCTCCAGCATCGTGCCAACACCTACGTCTGGCTCCTGCTGGGCTACCCATTCCTCGCCGTCGCCCACAGTCTAGTCTGCTTCATCTCCTGGCTCCTTGTGTTCATCATCCCCATCGCCAAAATGAATGCACGGACAGTGACTCGGATCCTGCTCCTGCCCCCAGAGCAGGTGCACATCCAGCACGTGAGGAAGGTGGGTTGCTCCAGCCTGCCCCTCCTACAGGGACCGGATGAGGGCTGGTGTCCAGAGGCAGTGTCCCATTGGGTGCCAGCACTCCCAGTACTCTGCTTCTCCCTTGTACTGGAGGGGTTGGGCTGGAAGGACTTGAAGGGTATGTGGAGTAGCAAGGGGGTATGTGATGCCATCATGGCCAGGCTTACCATGTGATGCTGAGCTAAGAAGACTTTGGCTCGGTGAACACTTCTGGGAGGGGATGCGGGTGGCCACTGCACTGGGCTTTCTCTCCTGAGATGGCTGAAGTTATTCTGGGTGGACCAGGGTGGAAAGGCCTGCATTGGCTTGGGGCATCTTAGGTGGCTCTGAGTCCTTCATGAGACAAAAGTGGTCAGATGGGCCTGGGGGAAATGATGCATTTTTTTGGGGTGGACTCCTTGGAGCAAAGAAGTGACCCAAGGGCTCCTGCCCCCCACTCAGACTGAGGTGCCACTGGATGCAGAAGTGATCCTGTGCTGCTACCGTGCTGTGAATGCATACTACTACAAATATGCTGTGGATGGGATCAATGTCTTTGCTGTCAGTATCCTTGAACTGCTGGCTGCCCCTGGCTCAAGGCAGTGTCATGGGTTGGGCAGCTCTGAGCTGAGATGATTTGGGGGTGGGGGGAGAGAAGATGCTGGGAACAAATGTAAGAATTGTCCTTAAGGTGGGGCAAGTTGAGCTTTGGTCCTGGGTGGCTGCTGGGTGTTGGTCACTGGCTCCCAGTGCTTGTTCTCAACCTGGCAGGGAGCTCATGGATGATGGACGCACTGATTTGCTATTAACGAAACTGGTCAGGGATGTTCCAACATCTCTGAACTAATTGGTGGAGGGCAGGCAGGGCATGATGGGGCAGTGGGGGTAGATCCCTAAGTGGGGGCATGTGAACAGGGTTCATCTGAAGCATCCTCTTGTCAGTGCTGGAGACTGGTCTGACCCCATACAGTACTCAAGGGGAATTCTGCCCCACTGAAGGGTGGCAGAGGGGGGTCTGTAAGAGCATAAAATACCTTGCCAGGGGCCTAAGCCAAGTGCAACAGGACATGGCAAGGTAAAATGGGGATGTGGTTTCCAGGCTAGGAAGGGTGGGCAGAGATTGAACCTCCTTGAGCTGGAGGCTCTCCAGCACTTGCCTAGCAGCAGGCTGTCCCTTGACCAGCTCCACTGCAGACCTGCTGCCCCTGGTGATCGTGACTCTGGTGCTGGGCTATGTCGACAGCCACAACCGCTTCATCAGCTCCCCTGTGAAGTTCACACTTTCGCTGCTCTCCATCATGCCTCTCTCCTACTACATCGGCATGGCCATTGCCAGGTAAGCATGAGTGTCAGAGCAGCAAGGACAAGTTGAGGGCAGCCTTCGTGGGGCCATGATTCCTGCATTGCCCTGTACTGATGTAGTAGCATAATAGTGGAGCCTTGAAGTCATCTCCGTCTCCGTGTGTTTGGTGTTTCTTCCCTTCCCTACTGGTCATGGTGGGTCTCGATTTGGCTTGGGATGGAAAGGCCAGTTGCATTTCTATCAATCATGATGGACAAGCAGCTCCCAAAACCAAACGGGACTTGCCCTTCATTACGAGGGGTGGGATCCATGCAGCTGTTGCCCTTCTTGAAGGTGGCAGCCTAGCAGAAACTCCTCGCCTAGGTGCTGCCGTCTTCCCAGAGCCCATCCTGGCACAGCCTCTCCAAGCTAAGGTCTGTCTCTGTGCTTCAGTATTTCAGCGCAGAGTAACTTTGCAGTGGGGGCTGTGGTGAATGCCACGTTTGGCTCCATCACCGAGCTGACCTTCTATATCACGGCCCTTATCAAGGGCACCCGCGAGGGGAGCAAGTGCTATGAGGAGATCGTGAAGGCGGCCTTGACGGGGACCCTGGTGGGCTGCGTCCTCTTTGTCCCGGTGAGTCTGGCTGGAAGCCCCGTGGCTCAGTCCTGTTCTCCACTCGCTTAGTGTCTGTCTGATCCTTGTGATGTCTGCTTCTGCCTCAGTGTAAATCTCTCCCACTTGCCTTCCTCGGTCTCCTCCTCCTCTTGGGAATTGTCTCCCATCCCAGTGACAATTTGGGGGTGGGGGGAGAAGGAATCTCTAGGCCACGAGCTTTCAAGGGACTTGAGTTACTATGGCCCAAGAGCTCAGTAGTGATTTAATGCATCCTCTGTTTCCTCCCAGGGCTTGTGCATGGTGATTGGGGGCATCAAACACCAAGAGCAGAAATTCAACAGCAGGTCAGCAGGTGTCAGCTCAGCCCTGCTCTTCCTCTCTGTGGGAGGTAAGGTGTGGAAACCTGGTGCAAGAAGGAGAGGGCAATGATTTGGATACCTTGGCTGTACCGGGTCATCGCAAGACCCGTGGGTCATCGCAAGACCCGTGGGTCATCGCAAGACCCGTGGGTCATCGCAAGACCCGTGGGTCATCGCAAGACCCATCATGGGGTGGGAGCAGCACTTGAGCATCTATTAACAGCCTCTCTTGTAGAAGCAGGATGTTGGCTGCTGAGGTCCCCCTGCTTTCTACATATGGCAGGGGCAGATGTAATGTCTTGTTTGTATTGGGATTGATAGTAGCTTTAGGAAGACTATATAGGCTTCCATGGGGTGGTGTGGACAGAGCTGATGCTGCCTTGGACAAGGGTTGAGACTAAATGGGACTTCTGGAGGTCCCTTCCAGCTCACTTGTCTATGAAGACCATCGTGGGACCCTTGCTTGGTGTGTTCAGGCTGGCCCTAGATTCTCCTCTACATTGGTTCAGTCCCTCAGATCTGTTCCTGTCTCCATGTCAAGAGGCTCAGGGGTGCCTCCTTGGTGGTACCATCCACTATTGCAGGAGCCTCCCTGCAGCTCTGGACACCTATTTGAACACTGTTCCTAAATCTGTCTATGCCATGGGGGAATGCAGGACCTGACCATGACTGGGCACAGGGGTGGGCAGACTCCCAGCACCCAACTCCCCTGCAGGCCAGATGCTTGAAACGAGTGTGGCTTTACCTTGGTGCTTGGAGTAACCCCAGCAGCTGGGCTGAGGAGGCCTCTTCCTGCAGCTCGCTGCTCTGCAGGGACACAAGGGGAAGCCCTGTGCCCACTGTGGGCCCAGAGAGCTTTTGCTGGGCTCAAACTGGTGTAGCAGGATAGCTGTGGGCAAACCTGTTTTAGCCAAGAAGCTGAGCAGAGGCCAGCAGGCCACAGGGCTCCTTGCCCACAGTGCTGGTTTGGGGGGGGGGGG